CAGAATTCCTCAGCCAGCGTGCCTGGCTGAGGAACTCTGGGAGTTGAAGTCCACAAGTCATAAAAGGGCCGAGGACCCTGGGTTAGAAAAACGTAAATTTTGTGGTTGTTGAGTAGCACCTGTGCTAATAAATCAAACTACACAACTGGGATCTACTCTGCCTTCAGCTTCCTCCCTTTCTCAGACGTCTTTCAGCTGAGGGGTTTTTAGGATTAAAATTACAACTCAACAAACTCTGAGGGGAAGAAAAACAGACACGGTTTATTCTGCTTTGGAATAGCAAAGGCAAGCATTCAACGTTATCAATCTTTCAACGCAACAAGAGAAAATAAATAGGTTTCTGGAGGCAGGGCGCCCTGATATCTTCTTCTCAGTGTTATATTGACTCTGCAGATTTTATGTATGCCGTAACTTTTGTTTTTTTCTACAACAAACAAAAATAAAAAAAATATATCACTCATCCACCACTACAGGTTTGCCCTAAGAAACCTTTAGCTATTGGGGGGTGGGGGGTGGGGGGGACGGAACCCGCTGGACAGAGTCCTTAGCAGCTTACCTTGACCTTTGGCCTGTATTTCAGGTAAAGTGTCCGGGAATATAAACTAGAATCAGAAGAAGAGAGGGGAGAAAATATTTAAAAAAAANAGGAGGAGGAGGAGGAGGAGGAGAAAGTTTAGTTGAGACAGGAGGAAAAAGGAAAGTAGAAGGAAGAGAAGGAGGAGGAGAAGAGGAAGAGGAAGAGGAAGAAGAAGAAGAAGAGGAGGAGGAGGAAGTTTAGTTGAGACAGGAGGAAAAAGGAAAATAGAAGGAAGAGAAGGAAAAGGAGAAGGAGGAGAAGAGGAAGAGGAAGAGGAAGAAGAAGGAGGAGGAGGAGAGGAGCAGTGAGGAGGTGGCGTCAAGAGAGGCATCAGCCTGGAATCCTTACATTCCCACAAGCTATCCAAGCCCGCCCTCCTCTGAATCACGTTAACTCTTCCCTAGTGCCAATTTAGGGCTGACTAGAACCTCGCGGAAGGACACGCGCAAGGCATCAGCCGAACGGGAACTTCCCGTGTGGCCCCGGTTCTTCCCGCTTTGGACGGAAGGGGGAGGGACCGAACTCTACCCGCCGAAAGAGGACGGAAAAGCACCCGGCCTCCGAAATTCACCTACCTCAGTTTCTCGCAGAAAATATTGTCCACGTTCCAGAGGAGGAACCCCAACAAAAAGACGGTCAGGGATGTGTATCCCAGCCCTCGGAGCCAGGGGTAAACCCTAGAGGGAAAGAGGACCACGTTAAGTCATTTCATGTTATTCTGCTATTTTGGGGGCAGATCTTCCTTGGGAAGATTTATTTGTATTCTGCCTGGCAGTTTGGGAAGGCGGGGCGATTGATTAATATCCTGCCTTGATTATTATTTTTACAAATAACTTCAGGCAGTATACCCAACACTCCTTCCTCTTCCTACTTTCCCCACAACAACGACCCTGTCAGGTGGGCTGAGCTGAGAGACCGAGAGAACGATTGGCTCAAAGTCACCCAGCTGGCTTTCCTGCCTAAGGCAGGACTAGAACTCGCCGTCTCCCAAAATTTCCGTCGTAAGCAAGGAGGGTGTTCAGGGAGTTTCGTCCCATCTTACAACCTTTTTTTTTTTTTGCTGCGGTTGTTAAGCGAATCACTGCAGTTGTTAAGTGAATCTGGCTACACACACACACCGCCACTGACTTGGTTGCCAGAGGCCAGCTTGGAAAGGTCACCAATGGGGATCGCGCAACCTTGGAATTAGTGCAACTGTCGTAAGTACATGCCAGTTGCCAAGCCTTTGAATACAGATCATGTGATTGTGGGGACGGTGCAATGGTCGTAAGTGTGAAAACTGGTCACAAGTCATTTTTATCGGTGCTGTTGTCATTTAGTGCAGTCGCTAAACAAGTGGCTGTAAGGCAAGGACTACCTGTATTTGGGGTTTAGGAGGCCCAAATACAGGACTTAGAAGCCTAATTCACTCCCAAGTTGTTAAGTGAGTTTTGCCCCATTTTACGACCTTTCTTGTCACAGTTGTTCAGGGAATCGATGCGGTTGTTAAGTTAGCGACACGGTGGTGGAGTGAAACACAGCCTGACATTTCTGACATACAATGCATAGTGGCCAAAATTGTGGAAACCTTTTGGGAAAAGTGTACAGTAGAAATGCCACCTTTGGTTAAGTTTCCACCCATTTTTCTTCTAATTTCTTTATAACTGTAGCCTTGTTCACTTAATAATACTATTTTACATCGCTTTCTGGGCCACCAGTCAACTCTTTGCACCATGACTTTAATTTTATGACGTTTTACAAGCTCACTAAATGAAAGAACACAAAAAACCCTAACCAACTTGATAGCCATCACATAACACACTGACAAATGTCCTCCTCTCGGCTTCAATACAGGACATCAATCACTGGATCCTACTGTGATCTGATTGGCTCGTTGCCAAAACAAGATGACACCCGATTGGCTCTCTAAACACTCGTGCTCATTGGCTACAATCAGAGGAAGGAAAGCTACCTGAGATCAACCTGAGCAAGTTGTGGTTCTTTTTTCTGGTTATTTGGCTATAAGTTTTCATAGAGTACAGTGCAGATAATTGAACAAACTTTGTTGCATTACATTCTTGATTAAATGATCTTTCCATTGATATATAATTTTATGGTACTTCTCCCCCCCCCAAAAAAGTGGTGTTATTAGCCATCAAACCTCAAAAATAACTTTTCCCAAAAAGGTTTCCACAATTTTGGCCACTACTGTAGGTACATTCACCAGTGGGGGAAATACAGGTAGTCCTCGACTTACAACCACAATTGAGCCCCACATTTCTGTTGCCAAGTGAGACATCCCTCAAGTGGCTTTTGCCCCATTTTACGACCTTGCTTGCCACCGTGGTAAAGTGAGACACCGCAGTTAACAACACGGTCGTTAAACGAATCTGGCTTCCCCCATCGACTTTGCTTGTCGGAAGGTCGCGAAAGGGGATCGCGTGACCCTGGGACGCTGCAACTGTCGTAAGTACATGCCAGTTGCCAAGCCTCTGAATTCTGATCACATGACTGTGGGGACACTGCCACCGTCGTAAATACGAGTCAGTTGCCAAGGGGCCGAATTTCAATCTCGTGACCGTGGAGCACGCTGCAACGGTCGTTAAGCGTGAAAAAGGGTCGTCAGTCACTTTTTTCAATGCTGTTGTCACTTTGAACGGTCACTAAATGAACTTTTTATAAGCCGCACTCTACCGATATACGGCGCCATAGCGGCAACTCCGATTTTCCACGGAGATGCTCCCTGGCACTTTGCCACTCGGGGACTCGTGTAGCAAAATGGTGCTCCAATCTTAATTTTTGCAGCTGGGATGGCAATTGTTTTCCAAGCCGCGGAGACCGGGGTTGTTGACACACAAACAAAGTGGCNGGAGAGGAGAGGAGGGGGAGGGGAGAGGGAACGGGGAGAGGAGAGGGTGTGGGGAGAGGACAGGAGAGGAGAGGGAGAGGGGAGGAGGAGAGGAGAGAGGAGAGGGGGTGGTGAGAGGAGAGAGGGAGAGGAGAGGAGAGGGAGAGAGGAGAGGACAGAGGGGCGGGGAGGACAGGGGGCGGGGAGAGGACAGGGGGAGAGGAGAGGAGAGGAGAGAGGGGGCAGGGAGAGGAGGAGAGAGGGGGAGGAGAGAGGAGAGGGGATTCTTTGAGGGAAGAAAAGGATTGTCTTGAGTTTGAAATTGGGAATAAACATTTCCAAAATATTGCAGAACAAACGGATGGACGTTCCTGTTGTATCTCCTGAGCGGAGACAGAAGAGCAGGAGTTAAGCTGATCTCTGTGGGAAGAGGGATCCAAAAGGGAAAGTCTTCCATCGAAAAAGGCCCGCCATCTCGCCCAGGCTCCACAAATCCCATGAGGAGGAGGGGGACTCTCTTACTAGGTGTCCTACTGGATGAGCAGAGTCCATTCTGCCAAGGGGGTGCCTGATAAACCCTGTGGTTTTCATTATCCTAATTAGTGGTCATTGGGGTGATTCGGGGCCCAGAAGCCTGCTGATAACCAGCTCAGGGTTGAAGCTTCGTGTTATCTTGCGCTGGCAGGACTGTCTCCCCTCAGGACTCTAGACTTGTCCCTTCAGGGTTGTCTCCAAGGGCAGCCCTATGTAGACAGCATTACGGCAGTCCAGGCAAGGGATCATCAAAACCAACAGGAGAGCAAAAGCCCTGATGTGAGAATTGCCACCGTTTCCCCAAATCTAGCTACATCCAGCTACCTGAGAAACTTTTTGGTGTGTTTTTCCTTTCAGAGAAGTGCAAGATGAAGGAGGAGAAAGAGAAGGAGAAGGGAGGAGGAGGAGGAGGAGAAAGTTTAGTTGAGACAGGAGGAAAAAGGAAAGTAGAAGGAAGAGAAGGAGAAGGAGAAGGAAGAAGAAGAAGAAGAAGAAGAAGAAGAAGAAGAAGAAGAAGAAGAAGAAGAAGAAGAAGAAGAAGAAGAAGAAGAAGAAGAAGAAGAAGAAGAAGAAGAAGAAGAAGAAGAAGAGAAGGAGGAGGAGAAAGTTTAGTTGAGACAGGAGGAAAAAGGAAAGTAGAAGAGAAGGAGAAGGAGGAGGAGGAGAAGAGGAAGAAGAGGAGGAAGTTTAGTTGAGAGGAGGAAAAAGGAAAATAGAAGGAAGAGAAGGAAAAGGAGAAGGAGGAGAAGGAGGAGAAGAGGAAGAGGAAGAAGAAGGAGGAGAAGGAGAGGAGCAGTGAGGAGGTGGCGTCAAGAGAGGCATCAGCCTGGAATCCTTACATTCCCACAAGCTATCCAAGCCCGCCCTCCTTTGAATCACGTTAACTCTTCCCTAGTGCCAATTTAGGGCTAACTAGATCCTCGCGGACGGACACGCGCAAGGCATCAGCCGAACGGGAACTTCCCGTGTGGCCCCGGTTCTTCCCGCTTTGGACGGAAGGGGGAGGGACCGAACTCTACCTGCCGAAAGAGGACGGAAAAGCACCCGGCCTCCGAAATTCACCTACCTCAGTTTCTCGCAGAAAATATTGTCCACGTTCCAGAGGAGGAACCCCAACAAAAAGACGGTCAGGGATGTGTATCCCAGCCCTCGGAGCCAGGGGTAAACCCTAGAGGGAAAGAGGACCACGTTAAGTCATTTCATGTTATTCTGCTATTTTGGGGGCAGATCTTCCTTGGGAAGATTTATTTGTAGTTTGGGAAGGCGGGGCGATTGATTAATATCCTGCCTTTATTATTATTTTTACAAATAACTTCAGGCAGTATACCCAATACTCCTTCCTCTTCCTACTTTCCCCACAACAACGACCCTGTCAGGTGGGCTGAGCTGAGAGACCAAGAGAACGATTGGCTCAAAGTCACCCAGCTGGCTTTCCTGCCTAAGGCAGGACTAGAACTCGCCGTCTCCCAAAATTTCCGTCGTAAGCAAGGAGGGTGTTCAGGGAGTTTCGTCCCATCTTACAACGTTTGTTTTTTTTTGCTGCGGTTGTTAAGCGAATCACTGCAGTTGTTAAGTGAATCTGGCTACACACACACACCGCCACTGACTTGGTTGCCAGAGGCCAGCTTGGGAAGGTCACCAATGGGGATCGCGCAACCTTGGAATTAGTGCAACTGTCGTAAGTACATGCCAGTTGCCAAGCCTTTGAATACAGATCATGTGATTGTGGGGACGGTGCAATGGTCGTAAGTGTGAAAACTGGTCACAAGTCATTTTTATCGGTGCTATCATTTAGAGCAGTCGCTAAACAAGTGGCTGTAAGGCAAGGACTACCTGTATTTGGGGTTTAGGAGGCCCAAATACAGGCAATGCTCGACTTAGAAGCCTAATTCACTCCCAAGTTGTTAAGTGAGTTTTGCCCCATTTTACGACCTTTCTTGTCACAGTTGTTCAGGGAATCGATGCGGTTGTTAAGTTAGCGACACGGTGGTGGAGTGAAACACAGCCTGACATTTCTGACATACAATGCACAGTAGTGGCCAAAATTGTGGAAACCTTTTGGGAAAAGTGTACAGTAGAAATGCCATCTTTGGTTAAGTTTCCACCCGTTTTTCTTCTAATTTCTTTATAACTGTAGCCTTGTTCACCTAATAATATTATTTTACATCGCTTTCTGGGCCACCAGTCAACTCTTTGCACCATGACTTTAATTTTATGACGTTTTACAAGCTCACTAAATGAAAGAACACAAAAAAACCTAACCAACTTGATAGCAATCACATAACACACTGACAAATGTCCTCCTCTCGGCTTCAATACAGGACATCAATCACTGGATCCTACTGTGATCTGATTGGCTCGTTGCCAAAACAAGATGACACCCAATTGGCTCTCTAAATATTCATGCTCATTGGCTACAATCAGAGGAAGGAAAGCTACCTGAGATCAACCTGAGCAAGTTGTGCTTCTTTTTTCTGGTTATTTGGCTATAACTTTTCATAGAGTACAGTACAAATAATTGAACAAACTTTGTTGCGTTACATTCTTGATTAAATTATCTTTCCATTGATATATAATTTTATGGTACTTCTCCCCCAAAAAAAGTGGTGTTATTAGCCATCAAATCTCAAAAATAACTTTTCCCAAAAAGGTTTCCACAATTTTGGCCACTACTGTAGGTACGTTCACCAGTGGGGGAAATACAGGTAGTCCTCGACTTACAACCACAATTGAGCCCCACATTTCTGTTGCCCTCCCTTAAGAGGCTTTTGCCCCAGCTTACGACCTTGCTTGCCACCGTGGTAAAGTGAGACACCGCAGTTAACAACACGGTCGTTAAACGAATCTGGCTTCCCCCATCGACTTTGCTTGTCGGAAGGTCGCGAAAGGGGATCGCGTGACCCTGGGACGCTGCAACTGTCGTAAGTACATGCCAGTTGCCAAGCCTCTGAATTCTGATCACATGACTGTGGGGACACTGCCACCGTCGTAAATACGAGTCAGTTGCCAAGGGGCCGAATTTCAATCTCGTGACCGTGGAGCACGCTGCAACGGTCGTTAAGCGTGAAAAAGGGTCGTCAGTCACTTTTTTCAATGCTGTTGTCACTTTGAACGGTCACTAAACGAACTTTTTATAAGCCGCACTCTACCGATATACGGCGCCATAGCGGCAACTCCGATTTTCCACGGAGATGCTCCCTGGCACTTTGCCACTCGGGGACTCGTGTAGCAAAATGGTGCTCCAATCTTAATTTTTGCAGCTGGGATGGCAATTGTTTTCCAAGCCGCGGAGACCGGGGTTGTTGACACACAAACAAAGTGGC